TATCCAGAAATGTTAGAGTATGTTTCGAGGCGTATTATTTAGCGCCGGGCGATCTATTATGCGCTCGTAGTGGCCCGTGACGCGGCGTATTTTGTCGCCGCCCGATCGATTTTTCTAAACCAATCGAACGTGTTTGTTGATGAACAATTGATGTTAATATGTTCTGTCGAGTGCATATACGCGTAGCTCTCAGATTCGCTACGTCAAAGTGTGCGCCCCCTGTCGTGGATGCGCGGCGATAAAAATCGTCTACGTGTGCCCGCTTACGTGATCGGCGCGATTAAGATTCGGCTGGCAATCTTTAATCGGCCGCGCGCGATCCGGCGATTAAAAATCGCTCAGTGTGGCCTCCTAGCAATTAGATGTATACAGGCACATTGTGCCATGGTTATATGAATAATACCTCCTGATAAACTAATAGTGCCTGCCCTTCACGATCAAAGCAGAGAATATAAATCATATTTATTTTTATATTCATTTTTCATAGTTATAATGCTCAAAAATTTCACAAAAATTAAAAAAAATTATTTTTTTTTTTAAATCGTTTGTACAGTAGAATGCTACTGTGCGACTTCCGACTCATTTGGCTATCACGGGGCACATATTATAAGCTACCGTACACCATGTTATTCAAAAATTGTCTGAAATGTCGTGTGGCAACATGTAGCTAGACCGTAAATCTGCTTTTAATTTTATGCCAAAAAGTTAATTGGATATTTATATATAAATGTATTACAGATTGTAAACCATTTATTTCTACGTGCATCACACAACAATGCACAACAGCCAGTAGAGATAAATCAGTAGCGCTGATTAACAAGTCACTAATGTAATTAATGTCTAATGATACATTTGAATGTCTAATCAAAGTATTAGACAAATTCATTTTCATCAATGCACATTGAGTTTTTATTGGTTCAATTAATCCCTACATCAAACAATGAGATAAACTAAGAAGCAACAGAAACAAAAATACACGATTTTGCACTTACTAGCATTTGTTTTGTACCATAACAACGGTAACACATCTGCCACCACAATTGATGCTGTTCCTATTTCAAAGCTAAATGAGACCCTGATTGACAGACGAATGCTAGGATCACATTTTTTAATCCATATGGGACACGGGCACATCTTTCACGCAAGGCATAAACTCAACCAACAACTGCAAATTGACGATCCAACATACGTACAAAATAGAACATGTACCGTACATGTTCGACCTCATCCCTCCCCAAACCGCCAATACACTCTTGCCTAATGGAAACGCCTCCGCTTTCCCTTCTTCCCCTTCTTCCCGGACGACGACTTTCCCCCCGCAGCCTTCTTCTTCTTCTTCGCCACGAATCCCTCCGCCTCCTCGCCGACCTCCCCCGAGAGCGCGCGCAGGTCCCCGAATCGCGTCAGCTGGTCGAGATTCGACATGAGCGGCATGTTGCGGCGATCGTCGCCGCCTCCGCCGCGCCGCGGCTCCTGCAGCCGCATGAGGTGCTCCTCCTCATACTCGCGCCGCCGCCGCCGCTCCCGCTCCTCCCGAACCTTCGCGACCGACTCCTCGCGGATCTCCTCCGGCCCGTCGTCGTACTCGCGCCGCAGCTCCTCGACGGCGGCGCCCCCTAGCGCGCGGCCGGCGGGCTGCGCGGCTCACAGCCGCTGCCCTGCCGCTCAAGCGCCGACTCGTCGCCGTCAAGTGCGCCGCCAGCGAGCCTCGGCGGCGCGGTACTTCCGCTGCGTGCGGCCTCGCCGCTTCGCCGCACCGCTCCAGACCCCCCGTCTTCCTCCTCCTCTCCTCCTCCTCCTCCTCCTCCGCATCGTCGAGTCCGCCCGCGAGAGTTGTCGCAGGTTGGGTTCGGAATCGGAGCCGGTCGTCGGCGCGGCGTCCGCGCGGCGGTGGCGGCTTGTTCTTCACGAGGCTTGGTCGATCTGGTAGCTTCAGCTTCTGGTCGAACGGCCGCATCTTCTCGAGGCAGCGTGCGGCAGCTCGACGACTGGCCGACGCCTGTCGCAGGCGCCCTCAATAATCAAGCTCGCCGCGCGGACTTCGCGCGATGACGTAGGCCGAGGTTCGTCAGGTAAGCCGAGGAGCAAGCTGGTAACTTGGACCTCTAGGAATCCGACGCCCGCGTGGCCCGTCCACGAGCTTCGCCGCTTTCGACGCGCTGCGACACCAGCAGCCCTCAGAGGGAGGTGACGGCGTCGGCCTCAGCCCGGGATGCGCTGGAGGCAGCGCCGCGAATCGCGCGCGGAGTCATTCAATCGTCGCACGCCCGCCATCGTCTTCGCGTCGTTGTCGTCGAGATCGAGAAGTTGTGTGCCAAAAGTTGTTTGTTGTCTGAGCCAACTTGTTGCAACAGAAGCAAAAAGTTGTTTGCGGGCGAGTTCAAGGTTGCAGCGGGTGAACATTTTGCATTGTTATCGTGCGCACGTGAAACTCGCGCGGCCTTACGCTAACAAGATCGGGCATCCCAATGTCGCACGATTGAATTGGCAACTGGCTGCTTGATGAGAAACATCCAGCGGCTGACGGCGTACGTACGTCTATCCAACGTCGCAGAGTTGAGATACACAAGCGTGTGCCTATCTTGAATTTCGTAAATCTTTCCACCCATGTGTAACATAGAACAGTTAAGACAGTATAAGTGAGCATCAGCCCCATTTATTGTAACAATGCAAAAACATCTTTGGATGTGACATAGTAATTAAAGTGTGTAGTACTTACTAAATTTAAAAGCTGAGGAAAACAAGGAACACGCTAAAACAAGTGGCGCAGTGCAACAGGGCTCATCTGGTGTCTGGTTGTTCTGCTGATAAAATCATTGTGGCATGAGCAAGACGTCTTATACATAAGTCTATCTCTTATTCCTTGTTTGACTTTCGTAGCCAATGGAAGCAAAATATATCAGCTACCTTTTGCACCCACCCCTAATGCTTCTATGCCATGGCAAGATACATTGTGGCATTGCACGGTTGGCAGCGCAAACAATTATGATTAGAAGTGTGGCAGCCATGGGCTGCCCCGTGTTTTTTTGCCTATCCACACGAGCCATTCACTGATTCAGGCCTTTCAGGGTGCTATAGACATCGACTGCTTTTAGAAAATAATTATGACTTTAAGGAGCGTAAACCTTGTTCAAGCATACATTTGCCTTTTTTTGGCAATTAAACATGTCAACTGTAAAACTCACATTCACAGGTCAGGGTATGGGCTCTAATTAATAGCAAAAGCAGTGTCAGTCCTTTGTTAACAGTCAACAATCAATGTTTCCCTCTCTCTTGAGGGTCAAACAGGTTAATCTCGACACTTTACTCTTCGCATGTCAGCCGGAAAGTACATTTCACGTCCTTTCGTCAATAAAGCCATAAAAATGGGTAGGTCACCGCTGAAACAAAAAAGTTTTCCAATTGGCTCCGTCAGCAAACATGTCCTTCAGAAATCTGCTAAAATCATGCCCTCTGCGCCCATTGACCTTTGACAGACTGTGACTCCAATTTCGGACAGTGATGGCTTCTTCCTTACCATGACTATATCACCGACTATCCACGAAGCCTAAAAGGTCGAGCCAGTTTAGATTTTGTGCCGCAAATTCTGCATTTCCTCCCTATACCTTAAGTAAGGAGGGAATGTCCCCCCTTCTTTCTTACACGCATCTTGACGCTTTGACCTTTTTGACCGCCCAGCTTCAAACATCCCAACTCGTTTTGCAAAAAATTACGCCCGCCCCCACTGTCCCCGACTTCGAATCCGTACGTCAAGACCATTTAGATTTGTGCCCAAACTGTTTGACTGGAGCGCACATCATGCGATTGCTAACAAAAGCTGCATCTGACTTCGTCAAGATGAGCTAAAAAAATACACGAGCATTATGGACCCTTTTTCATAAATAATTTAATTAATCATACATGATAATATTAGTAAATGTTTGCAACTGATTATAGAATATGCTACTGTTATTAACCATTACTCCACAATCGACATCATTCACACAGCACTAGTATTCGCGTGTCTCCTGAAAAACATAAGCAAAAATGAAAGTGTCAATGACACTGTAGCTCACCACAAAAAAAAGGAACAACGCAAATGAGTGAGTAAGCAAAGATCAGTTTTAATTGAGCAACCATCGACGTCATTATAGAAACGATGGGGGCCCCCATCTGCTATATCGCTAATAATTTATAAACCAAAATATAATCACAATTTGTGACCGTAAGATGGCGCTATACGCCGCATTTGTACGATGGCTTGGTTATGTTATATAGCGTTCGACCCTGTTTTAAAATCTTTACTCTAATATAGAAACGTTTTATCAGGCAGGGTGGAGAGGAAATCAGGCCAATTTTGCATTAAAGGATATGTCTTTAATGAAATCTTGTAAAACGAACCGAGACGAGTGTGATACCACAGACTGTTTGTGTTCTATATAATAGTGCTATATAATTGCCTAAACCCCAGCCCGTAATTTGTGATAATTTTTTTTTTTAAATATGCAAAACCCCTAGCCTTATTCATTCACATACCAACAAATTAAGCAAAAGTCCGTTGAACCTGACCTGACTAAATGGGCAATTCGCCATTTCTTTGCCAAAAAATTGCCGGTGGCTCGAAAGTCGAAAGTCAAAAAGGACGTTTAATATGGGAGCATAGGCAGTAACAACTATAAAGCAATCTTCCAAAACATCGTGCGGAAACGGTTTCCTGGAGTTATCGTTGACCGGAAGGACGAAATGTTGAACGGACGGACCGGACTGGACCGTACGACGGACGACGACGACCACTGGCAATAGCTCAGCTTGACGATGTCAAGGTGAGGCTAAAAATACATATAAAGGCATACTAGGCCATTGATTCAATGCAATGTTGACTAAATGCTGAGAGTAACTGGACCTTGTGTAGTTAATAAGTACATAACCTTACATGCTAATGCATATTAGTTTGTCCAATATCACTGCTGGTTACTAAGAAAATGCCTAATTGAATATGCCGCAGTCCAAAAAAATCAGTTGTTTACAAGTTTCAAAACCCGCTGCTGCGCAGCGGGTGTGATTACAGATTTAAAGTGCCCGGACATTTTCGCCAGCATGCTCAGGACCCGTCCAACGCAATGCTGTCATCAGTTATTTCGTAACACGGACGCTGCATGATAAGAACTTTTTGTCAGGAACTGTCATCGTGCGTGCCTGATTAGTACGTGTGTATTACTACCCTATTTCCATGTGTTATGTCACCGTGGCCGGTTAACACCGCCCTGACACCTCCATTTCATCTGCGGTCCAAAACACAGGGCCGCACAAATGTTTACATCATCGCTTGACACCTGGATGACATTTACCAGGCAAAGTAAAATGAATATCAACTTATGACCGATTCAAGTTCTGCTTGTAATGTAAGCCAGCGTGATATTGGACAAACTAAATCAAGGTTTGGCTATAAGGTTAATATACTGTATATAACTACAGGCAAAGGTGCCAGTTACTCTAGCCGATTTACGTGTGACATTATTCAACCATTGCGATAAAAATCAATAGGCTTAGGTAATGCCTTTTAACTGGGGGTGGAGGTTCAATTTACCTCGCGAACTAATCTTAAATAATTAAGTACAAGAGTATAAGATTTTAGGGAGGTCTATATGTTACCATAGGCTTTCAGAATTTGAAAAAGTACAGGAGGACTACTAATAAGTACTCCCATAGAAACACCATAAGGAGGGGACTTTTCAACAGCTCCATACAATCACACTTAAATGAGTAATAGAGTGGAATTATATGACATCTAGATGTGTGTAACGTAGAATAGCAGAGTATACATAAGGAGGGCGGTGGGAATTAACGGATGAGAGTAATATAAGGAGGGATGCTACGGAGTGAATAGATAACACGCTGGGAATGTAAAGGGCATATAACGATGGGAAGGAATAAGAGCTCACATAGAATTATAAAAATCAACAAGACGCCTTTAGAGAGGCTAGAAGTTGATGGAAGACGCTACAACAACTATTAAGAATCTAAACTTACCGCTTAAAATAGGAGATATCTGCCATAAATTTCTTAAAAGGAATCTGGCCATACGACGAAGGCGGCAGTGCTCCAAATTTTGAAGATTTTTTTGGGTTGCACGAGAGTTGTTCCCTCAGAGTTTTAGTTGTCCGGATATTATTTAAACATTGGCTGCAATGCACTCTGGCTCACGCGTGATGCTCAGTGCTGTAAAGCAAAAGGCCGTAATCATGTACATTTTGTACGGTATTGCAAGTGACAGCAGACATGGCCATTCGCATTGTTTACAGCTCATTATATAGATAATAAATAATTGTAACTGTGTAAAAGATGCCTGGGATCAATGACTGTATAAATAATAGAAAAAATTGCAATAAATTTATTTTCAAAGCATTTTTACATTGAACTACTAACATTAACACTACTAAACATATCTACACATTACTAACACTGTATGTGTCAAGTCACACGATGAGGCAAAAATTGACGAATAACTGCTAGCACACGGTGACGTAAACATTTGTTGTGATGGGTTAACAACTAATGTATATACTTTCATGTATCACCAAGCCAGACAGGTATATAGCGTCCTAGATCATTACGCATTTGCAGTGGCGTGATTGTGCAAGCCTCTGGCCGTATGTAATGAAATGCGACGCGATTTATGATTATATGAACATTTTTTATAGAGGTCTTGGACACCGGAACAACCACGAAGGCAAATTTGTAGTTGCGCCCGAGAGAAAACGGTGCCAGTCCGTCACGGACGACCGAGCGACCTGTTAAAATGAGCGCCGCGAAGGGTGTCAGTGAAAGGTTGCAATTCTCACTTGGCTACTGAAATCTAGAGTTTGGGCTAGAATAGATACTCCATCTCAAGGGCTCGCAGATCCACTGCAAACATATGACTAAATCTCATAGGGACACAGAGAAACTAGCCTCAAGGCCACGCTGACGCGGCGGCTTTGATGTACACGATCTGAGTGCGATACATAGACTTTGGTGGGCGATTTCAACCACTTTTATGAGGCGCGATTGATCCGCGCATCCCCATCCTGGCACAAAATTTAATGGTGGCGGCGGTGGAGCGCGAGCAACCATTGACGCGCCCCTTAAAAAGAAACGACAGTGTGGCTTTGCCATCGCTGGGTGCGCTGACAGTGGCAGCTGAAGTACTTGTTTGTCCATTAAATGCAGGGCGTAAATGTCCTCCAATGAAGTACAATATTTGAGTATTGGGCCAAAAATCGTGATAAAATTCATCATCTGATGGCCTCAAATACAACACCCTATATTCAGTTAGGATTAGGTAATTATTCTGCCTGTAGAATGTACTAGGCTTAGTGCATCCTCTGTTCAAAAACTGACAATCAAAACTATCGTAGTGGAAAACTAGAAAATAGGTTTGTGTTTTTAATATGTCCAGGGCACTCTCAAATACGTGTGAAACGAGAACAGAGGGCAGCTCAACGAGATGCATACCATCCGCCAGAATGTAACATGTGTGTGATTATCGAGCTGGCTCGCATCCTGGACTGGCTGGTCGCCTGACCAGTCGATGCCCGTAATATCGATCCGCTGCGAACACAACTACCACAAAAAGCACAAGAAGCGAATGCAACATAACCCACTCCAATCCGTTGGGCGGACGTGTAATGGACTAATGTGGGATCGAAATATATATGATAAACGCCAGTTTACTAGTAATACTACGCAACTGTACTACGTAACTCTCTAAAATTCACGAGCTTATGTAGACAGCTTGTTCAGTTCTTATTGGTTAGCTACCTACACCAGATCTCCTTGAATAAATAGTTCAGGTCTCTCCTGCAAATAAGATTTGTCTTTTAATCCACACTTAATCAATGATGAATTGTCCCTAAGAAAAGCAGAATTAACAAAAAACGATATAGTAACAACGCTTATGATGTGTGACTTTCCAGACTTTCAAAATAGAAGTAGACTGTGACATGCTTGTAAACGCGATGTGTAACAATGTAATATTGATGTGAAAAGCAGTTTAAATTTGATGTAAGACTTCATTATTAAAGTATAACTATTGAATAATATAGTTAAGTTTATGTAATTACTAATGTAATAATTCTACAGTACTAGATTTATAAATACTCACATGGAACATTACAAGAGGCAAGGTTCACACAATGATGCTTCTTACTGTCGAATAGCAGTTCAGCACCACCACTAGAGAAAAGCCAAGTATTGAAATAAGGAGCGAGACAAGTTACAGTTACACATTTAGTTTTACAAATGAAATAGTACACTACAACTAGTACAGTACAGTAAGTAAGTAGTACTACTACTACGTAGTATCTATACGAGTAGTAGTAGTACGTAGTAGTATATATAGTATAGTACTACTAGCTTAGGCTCCAAGAAACGGTATCGCTAGGTGTTTAGGATACTGTTTCAAAACCGGTGGCTGCAGCACTAAACAGCGTAGTTGCCGTTATGTTTCCAAGCATCGCCAAAGAAGCACCACAACACTGTGATATATCCAAATAAATCAGTAAACGCCACCTCTTCTGTAACGCATCAGTGCGCTACGATGTCGCTGGGTACTGTACGGGTTTACAGTCGACTTTTGAGACGAATGCAGCCAGAATTTAACGAATTCGCACGCCGATGTTGCTACTCATTCCGACTGTGACTAAAATCCGCAATGGATCAGACAAAGAATATTAAACGATCTGCGGTCGTCATGTAAAGCCACCCCTACATCGAGAACAATGTCACATCTAAAGTTTTTTTACAAATCGCGCCAGGACATTTCTGAACACGTTTCACTTGCGCTTTGGTGTGTATATTGGCCTTCAGAGCTCATCGTACTATTTCTGTAGTATTTTCTAGGCCGAGTCTATTAGCGTTTCGGGTTTTCCCGTGCTTGCTAACATGCAGGCGGTTAAAAGCTGGATTGAAAGTTGATATGCTGTGGAGAATTAGCAGATTATACCGTGAATATTAAGAGATACATGTCTAGTTTAGAAGCAGGACAATCTGTGAGTGTAACTTAATGATTTTAAATCAAGGCAAGTCAAAGGTGGGTAATGGAAAGTTTTATTTGAGATAGTATCAAGGTTATTCATCTAGATCTGCAGAGGTGAGTTTTATGGAAGGGTGTCAGGCGTATAGAACAATCCTCGGCAACAGCCTGGTCGGGCTAACGACACTACTAGTGCTGATACTTGATAGGGTCATGTCTCCCTGGGTGACTGCGCAGGAAAACGTACGCCTGGTAATCTAATCTGATCATGGTTAGGGTTAACGGGTTAGGGAGTAGGCGTAGGCGACTCCCTAGATCGTTACGCCACGTTAGGGAGTAGGCGAGGTAACGGGCCGGAACAAGACATTATTAGATCAGAGCCCAGGGCAGTACACAGTGAGACATAAGACCCGTGCAGCATACGCTCTAAGTGGCCTAACTATACGCCCGCGTAAGTTGCGCTGGCAGGTCAGTAAGTAGTACTAGTACTAGTACTAGTAGTACAGTACTAGTACTAGTAGTAAAAGTACTAGAGTATAGTAGTAGTAGTAGTATATACAGTAGTACAGTACCGTAGCTCCTTGCCGTAGGCAGTGTAGTGACAGCTGACAACTAGACAGTGACTGACGAGTGAAGTCTAGATACATACTTCGTATCGTCTTTAATCACATAAGTTAAACCCAGGGGGGGGGTGGGCTTTTCAGGCAAAGACTTTAATCATGTACAATTATATACGTTTCCATGTAATTTAGACAGATGCGTTTAAATAAAATCAGATTATAATACCTGAACTCTAACGTAATCTTCATTGATTCAGGTTAACGGCGTGTCGCATGCTCGTTTGCTCACTTGTTTTCCGACTCACGTGGTTGTCACGTGACATCGTCATTGATCAACATTGAACGACCACTGCGAAAGTTCAAATTTGTGGACTGTCTTAGTATTAATACTAATAGTAAGTGTCTTGACCTGGCCAGGTAACTGAAGGCAAAGGTAAAGTAACACGTTAGCTACACAATTTTCTCGTGCGTTTGGCTTTCAAGTTACTGGTTCAGGTATGATAGTCGTTACTTAGTATATAATCTGCACAGCCAAACATTATTATTCATGACTACTGTCGTACTGAGTACTGTCACTGATAGCTCCAAGAAACGGTATTGCTAGGGTTAGAATACCGTAGCATCGTGCACCGTAGCACCGTGTATAGACAATCCGTCGCACAGCCTGGTCGGGCTAGACTACTGACTACTGTCAGTATAGACCAATAAATTGTGCCCTGAAAATTTTTATATTCTGATGTTATTTTGGGATAACGTCATTATAACATCACCTAAAATAACATCAGAATATAAATTTTTTTAGGGCACAATTTATTGCCATATTGGTCTACTGTCAGTATAGCTCTGCCTCTAGTACTATAGCCCGCGTTCATTAACTGGCAACTGCCGCAGGCCGCAGGCAGTTAATGAACTCGGGCTATCACTATCAGTACTGACACTCTAGATACTGTCTCTAGCCTCTACTCTAGGGCCTACTGAGTACCTAAACCGACCAGGCTCTCCGACTGTTACTGTTAGTAGTGTTACACGGCGTAGGACTGTACCGTAGTATTTGGACGCTCGCCCGAAACTGGACGCTCCTAAGTGCGCATGCGCGCATGCTCTTTTGTTTTTCTCTTATTTTTGTTTGTTTGAATCTTGTTTTGCAGGGCCGTAGGAAATAGTAGCCATGCTCGTTTGTTTTCTTTTTGTTTCGCCTTGTAACCTGACACACACAGTCTTACTAACTTAATACTAGTAGTAGTACTACATTACAAATTGTTTCAATCAAATGTTTCCATGAGTGACCGGGTTGGTCGCACGTTTGTTTATTGCGACCGTTTTCGATGGACGAGATGCGCAGATGACTACTGCGCATGCACCCTTGCAAAACAAGAGGCGCCTTCACGCATGCGCACTTAGGAGCGTCCAGTTTCGGGCAAGCGTCGAAATACTACGGTACATGACTACGTACTAACGTAGTGTTAAGCGAGAAGGGAACTTGTGGCTACTGAGTACTTAGCCCGACCAGGCTGTGTGACCACAGGCCCTTGGAGGCTCAAGTTTCAAGAAGAGTATAAGAGCGAAGCGGATATCATAATCTCTATCCAAATTGTAGAGTGGAATATATCTCGAACGTAGTCATTAGAAGTAACAGTTGAGTAAGCGGTGGCAAGTACGGTTTCATTTAGATGAACAGCACAGTCAAAACAGTGTGCGCGTACTCATTAGAGGATTCCGGCGTCTCTCCCTCTTCTACCAAAACCCATCCTTTTTAAGCCGTCCGCGTGTCCGTCGCGACCTGATTAGACTTCAACTAATTTATGACGCGGCTAGTGGATATAATCGACCGGCTGGCGACTAATGTTCAGATCTGTACCAGGTACCCTTCGGACCAGATACCGCTTCGCTCTTATACTCTTCTTGAAACTTGAGCCTCCAAGGGCCTGTTGTGTGACTAACGACTTAACGTCAATATACACAGCAGAGAATTATATAAGAATAAGAAATATAACGCGAGAATTTCGTCAGGCTTTGTGTGATTTTGCGTGACACAGCTTGGTTACGAACACAGACAGTATGTTTTTATAACAAGTGAACACTGTCCTTCAAATAGAAACAAAGATGGAGTAGAATGGTTGAATATTTGTGTTGTATTCGTGTGAAATGAAGCGAGCGTTGAGCGAATTTTGGCAGCACGCTTTCCTACCTGCTATATATTTATGTGTCAGTGTACAGCAGCAGCCAGAGTTTGTTGCAGATGAGCATTTGGACGGCATTTACAGGAAATTGTCGGCAATAATACGTGAAAGAGAGTAGAGAAACATTAAAGCCGCACTATGCGCATCCAAACGCTAATTTTTCCAGTACTAGACTAGCAAACATTCGTGGCATGCATAATCACACTACCTTATGACAAAATAAACTCTAGTTGCTCCCATTTCACTGCGCATTTGCTTAAGTTAAAATCCACAAGAAACAGGTGAGAAAACTGGCATTCTGGCACTAACGCCGGCTTATTTGCCAAACAATTTAGCCTCGAAGTGGTTAGGGTGACGTCACATGTTTTTATCTTTGCTACACCCACCTGCCGCTCGAGCGCCGACTCGTCGCCGTCAAAGTGCGCCGCCGCGAGCCTCGGCGGCCGGTACTTCCGCTCGGTGGCGGCCTCGCGCTTCGCCGCCCGCTCCCGACCCCCGTCTTCCTCCTCCTCCTCCTCCTCCTCCTCCTCCGCATCGTCGAGTCCGCCCGCGAGATTGTCGAGGTTGGGTCGGAATCGGAGCGGGTCGTCGGCGCCGGCGTCCGCGCCGGTGGCGGCTGTCTTCACGAGCTTGTCGATCTGGTACTTCAGCTTCTGGTCGACGGGCCGCATCTTCTCGAGCAGCGTGCGCAGCTCGACGAGCTGGCCGACGCACGCGGCGCCCTCTATCAGCTCGCCGCGTGACTTCCGCGCGATGACGTAGGCGAGGTTCGTCAGGTAGCCGAGGAGCAGCTGGTACTTGACCTCTAGGAATCCGACGCCGCGCGCCGTCGCGAGCTCGCCGCTCTCAACGCGCTGCGACAGCGCCCTCACGAGGGAGGTGACGGCGTTGGCCTCGCCCGGGATGCGCTGGAGCAGCGCCGCGAATCGCGCCGAGTCATCATCGGTCGCCGCCGCCATCGTCTTCGTCGTCGTTGTCGTCGAGATCGAGCAAGTTTTTGTGCAAAAGTTGTTGTTGTTGAAGCCAATTGTTGCACAGAGAGCAAAAAGTTGTTGCGCAAGTTGCAAGTTGCACGGGTGACAAATTTGATTGTTATCGTGCGCCGTGAAACTGCGCGGCTTCGCTTAACGAGATCGGCAATCCAATGTCGCACGATTGAATTGGCAACTGCTGCTTGATGGAAACATCCAGCGGCGACGCGTACGTATGTCTATCCACCGTGCAGAGTGGAGATAAACACAACGTTGTCGCCTTCTTGAATTTCGTAATCTTTTCCACCCTGTGTACATAGAAACAGTTAAGAAGTATAAGTGAGCATCAGCCCCATTTGATTGTAAGCATGCAAAAAATCTTTGATGTGAATAGTAATTAAAGTGTGTAGTGCTCTAAATTTAAACTTGAGGAAACAAGGTAACACGCTAAAACAAGTGCCGCAGTGCGACAGGGCGCATCTGGTGTCTGGTGTTCTGCTGATAAATTCATTTGTGCATAGCAAGACGTCTTATACATAAGTCTTCTTTATTCTTGTTTGACTTTCGTAGCCAATTGGAACAAATATATCAGCTACACTTTCGCACCCACCTAATCTCTATGCATTGCAGACACATGTGCATTGCAGCTTGGCAGGCAACAATTATGATTAGAAGCGTGCCAGCCATGGGCTGCCCCGTGTTTTTGCCTTACCACACGAGCATTCACTGATTCAGCCTTCAGGGTGCTATAGACAGACTGCTTTAGAAAATAATATGATTTAAGGAGCGTAAACCTTGTTCAACAAACATTTGCCTTTGCAATTAAACTGTGCAACTGTAAACTCACATTCACACTAGTATGGGCTCTAATAATAGCAAAAGCAGTTCAGTCCTTTGCTAACAGTCAACAAATGTTTAACCCTCCTCTTGAGGGTCAAAAGGTTATCCAGGTTAATCTCGACACTTACTCTTCGCATGTGCAGCGGACAAGTACATTTCACGCGTCCTTTCGAATAAAGCCATAAAAGATGGTAGGTCACCGCTGAAAACAAAAAAGTTTTCCAATTGGCTCCGTCAGCAAACATGTCCTCAGAAATGGCTGCTAAAATCATGCCTCTCTGCGCCCATTGACCTTTGCACACTGTGACTCAATTTCGGGCACAGTGATGGCTTTCCTACCATGATGCTATTACACCGACTATCACGAAGCCTAAAGGTCGAGCCGTTTAGCATTTGTGCCGCAATTCTGCATTTCCTCCCTTATACCTTAAGTAAGGTAGGGAATGTCCCCCCTTCTTTTTACACCATCTTGACCTTTTGACCTTCTGACCGCCCAGCTCTTCAAGCATCCAACTCGTTTTGCAAAATTACCCCGCCTCACTTCCGGACTTCGAATCCGTACGTCAAGCCATTTAGATTTTGTGCCCAACTGTTTGACTGGAGCCAAATCATGCTCGATTGCTTAACAAAGCCTGCCATCTGACCTTCGTCAGATGAGCTAAAAAATAGCACGAGCATTATGGACTTTTTCATAAATATTTAACTTAATCATACATGATAATATTAGTAAATGTTTGCAACTGATTAGAATATGCCTACTGTTATTAACCATTAGCTCCCAATCGACATCATTCACCAGCACTAGTATTCCTGCGTGCTCCTGAAAACATAAGCAAAATGAAAGTGTCAATGACACTGTGCTCACCACAAAAAAAAGACACAAGATGAGTGAGTAAGCAAAGATCAGTTTTATTGAGCAACCATCGACGGTCATTATTAGAAACGCATGGCCCCATCTGCTATATTCGCATATTAATTTATAAACCAAAATAAATCACAATTTGTGACCGTAAGATTGGCCGCTATACGCCGCCTTTGTAGCGATGGGCTTTTGATTTTTGTTATAGGTTATATAGCGTTCCGACACTGTTTTAAAATCTTTACTCTAATTATAGGAACGTTTTATCAGGCAGGGTTTGAGAGGAAATACCAATTTTGCATTAAGATATTGTCTTTAATGAAATCTTGTAAAGCACGAATCCAGACGAATGTGATACCACAGGACTGTTTGTGTTCTAATATAATAGTGCTAATATAATTCACGAAACCCCAGCCGTAATTTGGATAATTTTTTTTTTAAATATCAAAACCCCTAGCCTTATTCATTCACATACCAACAAATTAGCAAAAGTCCGTGAACCTGACAATGGACTAATTGGCAATTCCCATTTTTTGCGCAAAAAATTGCCGTGGCTCGAAAGTCTGAAAGTCAAAAAGGACGTTTAATATGGGAGCAATTTAGGCAGTAACAATCTATACAAAATTCTTCAAACATCGTGCGGAAACGGTTTCCTGGAGTTATCGCTTGACCGAAGACGAAATTTTGTTGACGCGACGGACCGGACTGGACGTACGACGGCGACGACGACCATGGCAATAGTCAGGCTTGACGATGTCAAGGTGAGCTAAAAATACATATAAAGGCATACTAGGCCATTGATTAATGCGAATGTTGACTAAATGCTAGAGTAACTGCGACTTAGTGTAGTTAATAAGTACATAACCTTACATGCTAGAATGCATATTAGTTTGTCCAATATCACTGCTGGTTACTAAGAAATGTCCTAATTGAATATCCGCAGTCCAAAAAATATCAGTTGTTTACAAGTTTCAAACCGCTGCTGGCGAAGCGGGTGTGAATACAGATTAAAGTGCCCGGACATTTTCGGCACGCATGCTCGGACCCGTCAACGCAATGCTGTCATAGGTTATTTCGTAAAACACGGACGCTCATGATAATGGAACTTTTTTCAGGACTGTCCATGTGACGGTGCCGTGATTAGTTAGTGTGTATTACTCCTTATTTCCATGTTGTTAGTTCACCGTGGCCGGGTTACACACCGCCCTGACACCTCCATATTCATCTGCGTCCAAAACACGTCCGCACAAATGTTTACATATCGCTATGACACCTGGATGAACATTTACCGGCACAGTAAAATGAATATCAACTTATACCGAATTACAAGTTCTGCTCTGCTAATGTAAAAACCCCGCAGTATATTTGGACAAACTAAATCAAGGTTTGGCTATAAGTTATATAGCTGTATATAACTACAGCAAGGTGCCAGTTACTCTAGCATTTACGTGGACATTATTCAACATTGCATAAAAATCAATAGGCTTAGTAATGCCATTTTAGACTGGGTGGAGGTTCATTCCCGGAACTAATCTTAATAATTAAGTACAAGGAGTATAGATTCTTAGGGAGGCTTTGTTACCAAGGCTTTCAGTTATTTGAAAGTACAGGAGGACTACTAATGATAGTCTCCCTAGAACACCATAAGGCGGGGACTTTTCAACAGCTCTCACAATTAAATTCACATAGTAAGACACTGATGTTAAGTAGATCAATATAAGGAGGGTGGATTAACGATGAGAGTAAAGGAGGAGCTACAGTGATGTAACACTATGTAAAGCATAAAATGGAAGGATAAGCTAAGATTAAAAATCACCGCTTGTAAGAGCTAGATAGGATGGAAAGCGCCACAATATAAAATCAACACCGCTTAAAATAGGAGATCTGCCATAAATCTTAAAAGGATCTGGCCATACGACGAAAAGGCGCAGCTGCTCACATTTTAGTAAGTTTTTTTGGCGTTGGTCCGGAGTTGTCCCTCAAGAGTTTTAGTTGTTCCGGATATTTATTGTAAGACATGTGCTGACATGCACTCTGCTCACGGTGATGCTCAGTGCTGTAAAGCAAAAAGGCCTAATTCATGTACATTTTGATACGTAATTGCAGTGACAGCAGACGATGGCCTATTTCGCCATTGCTTTCAGCTCATTATATGAAGATTTAATAAAATATTGGTAATGTGTAAAGATGTGGGATCAATGACGTAATAAATAATTAGTAATAAAATTATGCATTAAAATTTATTTCATAAGCATTTACATTAACTACTAACATTACATCTACTAAACATTACTAAACATTACTAACACTGTATGTGTCAAGTCACAGAGTGAGGGTCAAAAATTTGAACAATTAACACCGTGCACTAGAAGGAAGGTAAAAATTGTGTGTGGTTAAACACGTAATGTATATTATACTTGTAATTGTATTCAAGACAAGCGGCAGAACATATGAGCGTCCTAGACAATGTACTGCCATTATGCAGTGGCGTATTATTTGTGCAACCCTGGCCAGTAATGTAAAATTGAACACGCGCGCGCATTTATGAATATTAACATTTTTTATAGAGGTTTGGACACCCGGACAACCACGGAAGCAAATTTGGTAGTTGCGCCCGAGAGAAAAATGCCAGAGTCGTCACGGACGCACCGACGACTGTTTAAAATGAGCCCGCGAAGGCGGTGTATGAAGTTGCAAATTCTCATTGGCTACTGAAACTTATAGAGTGTGGGCCTAGAATAGATACTCAACTCAAGGGCTCGAGCGATCCAGTTTTGCAACATGTGACATATCTCTATATGGACAGGCAGAAAACTAGCTCCAAGGCCCACGCTGACGCGGCGGCTTTGATGTACACGATCGAGGTCGATACACAGACTTTTGGTGCCGCGATATTCAATCCACTTTTATGAGGCGCGATCTGATCCGCGCACCGCATTGCGCCAACAATTTTAATGGTGGCGGCGGTAGGAGCGCGAGCACCGATACGCTGCCCCTTAAAAAGAAGCGGTGTGGCTTGCCATCTGGCGTCGCGACACGGAGCTGATTAGCTTTGTTTTAAGCCAAAAATGCAGCGTGCAAAGCTCCGAATCGAAACAAATTTAGTATGGGCCAAAATCGTGATAAAATTCACTTGATGGTCCTCATAAACACCCTATATTCAGTTAGGATTGTATTTTGCCTGAAATTACTAGGCTATGCATGCCTCTCGATTCAAAACTTGACAATCAAACTTATGCATTAGTGGAAACTAGAAAATTAGGAGTGTTTTTAATTAATTGTCAGGCACCTCACGAATATAGTGCTGAAACGAGACAGGAGGTCACTCACGGATGAGTGCAATTACCTCCGCCAGAATGTAACATGATATGTGGGTTACGAGCTGGCTCGCATGCCGCTGCGCTGGCTGGCTTCGCTGGACCAGTTCGAGTGCGCTAATATCGATCGCGCGAACACATATACGCACAAAAAGCACAAGAGCGATCACATAACCTCCTCCAACTCTGTTGGGCGGAGGTAATGACTATGTGGGATCGAATATATGATAACCCAGTTACAGTAATACTACCAACTGTACTACGCTACTCTTCTAAATTCACAGCTTATGTATGAACGCTTGTATTAGTTTTTATTGGTTACTACCTACACAGATTCTCCTTGAATAAATAGTTCAGGTCTCTCCTGCAAAAGATTGTCTTTAATCCACACTAACAATGATTGAATTGTCCCTAGAAAAACAGAATTAACAAAAACGATATAGTACACGTATGATGTGTGACTTTCCGACTTTCAAATATGAAAGTAGATGTGACATGTGTAAACCGATGTGTAAAATGTTAATATTGATGTAAAACAGTTTAAATTTGATGTAGACTTACTATTAAGTATTACTATTAGTAATAGTTAGTTATAGTATTACTAAAGGTGTAAATAATTCTCAGTACATAAGATTTACAATATACTCAGCATGGAATTCATTAAACAAGATGGCAAGGTTCACTACAAATGATGCATTCGTTACTGTCGATAGACATGTTCAAGACCACAACTAAAGATATGAATACCAGGAATATTGAAATAAGGAGCGAAGACCAAAGTTACATTACACATTTTAGTTTTATACAAATGAATATAGATTACACTACAACTAGCTACATGTACAGTAGTAAGGACTAGTACTACTACTACTAGTATGCTAGTACGTAGTAGTAGTAGATACAGTACTAGTAGCTAGTAGGGTACTTATACATACTAGCTAAAAGCTCCAAGAAACGGTATCAGCTAGGGTTAGAATGTGTGTTCAAACCGTGGCTGCAGATAAACATTTCGTTAGATGTTGCCTTATGCTTTTATACCTACCAGTCATCGCCCGAACCACCAGCACATGTGATATACCTAATAAAATCAGTAAACTCACCTTCTTTGTAACCATCAGTGCGCGTACGATGCGCGTGGGCTACTTACGGGTTACAGCGACTTTTTGAGCGAATGCACCAGAATTTAACGAATTCGCCGGCCGATGTTGCTACTACATTCCGACTGTGTATAAAAATCCGCAATGGATCGAACAAAGAAATTAAACGACTGCGGTCGTCATGTAAACCACCCCTACCATCCGAGAACATGTCATCTAAAGGTTTTTTTACAAATCGCCAGACATTTGCTGCAACATCGTTTCACTTCTTTGGTGTGTAATTTGTGCCTTCAGAGCCATCGTACTATTTCTGTAGTATTTGCTAGGCGAGTCTATTAGCGTTTCGGGTTTTTCCTCGTGCTTGCTAAACATGGGCGTTAAAGCTGATTTGAAAGTTGCAGTATGCTGTGAGAATTTAGCAGATTATACCGTGAATTAAGGATACAATTCTGTTTAGAAGCAGGACAACTGTGAGTGTAACTTCATGATTTTAAAAAGGCAAGTCAAAGGTGGTATGAATAGTTTTATATTTGAGATGATACAAGGTTATTCATCTAGATCTGCAGAGGTGATTTGTATGGAAGGGTTGTCAGGCTGTATAGACCAATCCGTCGCACAGCCTGGTCGGGCTACACACTACTAGTGCTGATTACTTGATTAGGGTCTATGTCTCCTGGGTACTGCCGGAAAACGTACGCCTGGTAATCTATTGATCATGGTTAGGCTTAGGTTAGGGAGTAGGCCGTAGGCCGACATCCCTAGACTCGTTACGACGTTAGTGGAGTAGGCGAGGTACGGTCGACCGAGCATATTAGATAGTACCAGGGCAGTACACAGTGAGACATAGACCCTGGCAGCATAGCTCTAGTGCCTAACTATAGCCCGCGTACAGTTTGCCGTGGCAGGTCAGTAGTAGTAGGCTAGTACTTAGTAGAGTAGTACATACTGAGTACTATAGGTAGTACTAGTAAGTAGTAGTAGTAGTAGTTTAGTAGTAGTACAGTAGTACAGTTACCGTAGCTCCTTGCCGTAGACAGTGTCAGTGACAGTGACAACTGACAGTGACTGACGAGTGACGTCTAGATACATAGCGGTTCCCTACGTCTTTAATCACATAAGTTAAACCCTGCTTTTTCTAGGCAAACGGACTTTAATCAATGTACAATTAATATACGTTCCATGTAATTTAGACAGATGCGTTTAAACCTAAATCAGATTAATAATTACGCTGAATCTAACGTAATCTTCATTGATTCAGGTAAACGGCGTGTCGCATGCTTCCGTTTGCTCACTTGTTTTCCGACTCACGTGGTATGTCACGTGACATCCGTCATGATCAACATTCATCCACACTGAAATCGAACACACTGCACAAATGTCCAAATTTGTGGACTGTGCTTAGTATTAATAATATAGTAAGTTGTCTTGAACCTGGCCAGTGTAATCTGAAGGCAAAAGGTAACAGTAACACCAATTAGCTAACACAATTTCTCGTGCGTTTTTGCA